CACTCATTAAGGACCTGGTGGCCGTACACACACACACACACACACACAATCCAGGCGCTCATTAAGGACCTGCTGGCCACACCAGCGATCCCCAGCCCACAACTTCCAGGGCAGGCAGTCCAGGATCCGACCTGCCTCTGGACTAGCAGATCCTCCTCTCAGAGGGCCAGGGCCTGCACCTGATATCCTAGACCTACAGAGCACAGGGAAGCCACAGCTGCCACTCCGCTCTGACCTGGGGACCAGCCCTCAAGAAGAGGAGGAGAGGAAGTGGAGGACCTGGTTGGCAGCAGGAACCCTACCTCCTCCCCAGAGGCCTGCCCTCTCCCTAGGACCCCAGGGCTGCCAAGATGCTGTCTGGCCCCAGCCTGTCCCTCCTACTGCTGGCTACCCCTCCAAAGGGAGCTGCCACAAACAGTCAGCGCCACTCAGAGGCCCCAGGATCTGGGCCGGAGGCCCCAGGGAGGGCCTAGGAAAGGGAGCTGCAGAACCAGGCCCTCTCTCCATGGAGGGCAGACTCCTCAGCTGCACCACCAGGAGGCCAGCATTAAAGGCTGTGAAGCTGTTAGACTACATGGGCTGCCTCAGTGCCCAGCCCACCTCGAAGGACCCTCCTGGGCTCACCAGCCCCACCCTCCCAGCAGGAAGCTCCATATCCAACCTGGCTTCCCAGCCAGCTCTGGGGGGTGTGCCCTTCCAGCACCCTCCTTTCCCCTCTCCACTGTGGCTTAGGGACAGATTGTAGGTAGCGCACCTTAAAGTCTCTGTCCCCACTTCCCAATACCCCAGAGTCCAGTCCCAAGGCTGAACAAAGGGAAGAGGAAGTGCCTGCTCCAGATCCAGGACCCAGCCCCCACTCACCCTGGTGCCTGCCTGGGTCCTACCTGCGGAGTTTAGGCAGCGCCGGCCAGCAGCCCCGTGCCCCTGGCCGCCTGTTTGCTGAGTGGAACTGCAGCCAGTCCCCCAGGACAGCTCAGGGGCTGGCACGGGCTGTACCAAGTGCAGCTGCATGCAGGGGAGACCCTGGGATGATGGCAGACAGGGGGCTGGGGGAGCTCAGGGGAGCCCAGAAATCTAGGTAAGGAGCATGAGAGTTGGGAGATAAGAGGAAGCCCAGAGCTGAACAGGGCCTTGACCTCTATAGTGCTAGGGCCTAGCCCAAAGTGAGGCCCCCAAGAGGGAGGAGCAGGGTAGGCTGATACGCGCAAGGCAGGCTGGCAGGGAGGGCCCCAGCCTCCTTAAAATGCACTGCCCTGGGGGACAGTGAGTGGGTAGGGCCTGGCTGGCCAAAGGGTAGGAGGGGGAAAGAAGCGGGTAATCAGCCCTCATCTCCACACCCAACAGCCCCAGGCCAGCTTCCTCTGCCCAGTGGCCTTGTTTGCTCACCACTGTCCTCTGGGGCCCTGACTATGGGGTCCCTTGGGAGAGACAGGGCCTCTGCTGGGGAGACGAGCTGGCTGGCAGTCGGGGAAGTGGCTCAGTCCAGGCAGCCCCTCATGCCCAGGGGGCTGGTGCATGGCTCCCTAGACCTCCAACCCCTGTTCCAAGCCTAACATCGGGGACAGGACCAACAGCCCAGGAGGAGAAGTTTCAGAGAAGAGGGACTAGAATTTGGAGGACTTGAGTCTGACTCCATTCCACTTACTGGCAAGTCTCTACCTCCCAGAGGTTTCAAGTCCTGTCTATAATGGGGTGATAAGCAGGTCGTGCCCTGCATAGCCACAGCTGCCACAGAGATATGGCTCCACAAGTGTCCTGTAGAATACCACAATCTGCGATTATGAAACTTTCAGGACTCTCCAAACACTTCCCACATGTAGTCCCACCTATCAGGGAGGGTGGGAGGTTCTCAGGCCCAGCACAGCCAAGGCAACTGAACAATGAAGGGCAGAGAACAGAACTTGGCAGGGATGGAGATGGGGGAATGCTATCTCTTACTTGGAAGAGGGCAGAGCAGGAAGAAGAAGGAAGGATGGGCACCTGCTCCACCCCAAAGGGGTAAGACAGAGCCTAAGGTCCTTGCTTACCCAAGAACCCTGATCCTACACAACTCCTCCCCACTTCTAACCCCCTCCAGTGAAGGCCAACCACAGACCCCCAGGGCTGGTCTGTATCGGGTCAGTGCAAGCGAGCCATAGGCCCTAATCTCAACCCCCTCTCCTAGCAGGGTGGCCCAGGGCCTTGAGGGAGATCAAAAATTGGCTACCCTGAAACATATCTCTTTACCTTGATTATTTTCTCTGACGGACATTTGACCTCCCTCAAATTGCCTAAATAATTTAACATAGAAGGCCTGTTTCAGGAAGGACTTACTATCATATGATGGCTGTAATATAATGTAAAATAGATGTTACAATAGGAAAGACACTAACAAGCCCATCTTATCAAAAATTCTGTCTCTCCCAGGCCACATTCTCTAGGTAGCCCTGCAAAGAGTTGCCAGACAAACATTTACATTTATAAGGGAACTCTCCATTTGTAAAGGTATCTCCCTTTCTGTATTAGGAAGAGGGGGGGATGGCCTTATCTGTGGACACTCTTATCAGTACGGAAGAAGAGGACTTAAATCTACATACTCTTGATTATTGTGATTTCTGTCTCTCCGGCCACATTCTCTATAGGTGGCCCTGTAAAGAACTGTCTGACAAACATTTATATTTCCCTCTCCATGTGAACTGTCTTCTTCCCCTCTGAAATTCCAAACCACTACCCCCAATAACCTCCTTTGTCTTTAGCTGAAGATAGTATTTAAGATGAGAATCTCTGCCATTTTGTTGAGAAACTCAGTTTCCCTGGTTTCTCCCATGTATACATGTTATTAAACTTGGTATTATTTTCTTCTGCTAATCTGTCTTTTAATTATTTGGCCAGCTATAAGAACCTTAAGGGAAAGGGCGGAGGGGGATTCTCCGTCTTCCCCGACAGCCTCCACAGAAATGCTAGGGTGACCAGGACAGGTTCCAGCAGCCAGAGCCATGCCCCCAGCCTGCTGCACTGGACTGCCAGGGTTCACTGGAGGTGACAGACAAGCAGTAACTTCCACACTCCCTGAGGCCAGGCTGCCTGCTGGTCCCTTCTCCCAGGGTCTGTGCCACAGCACCACACACACACACTCACCCAGGAGGAGTCGACCAAAAGCCAGAGAGGGCTACTCCCCAGCCACTCCCACCAACTCCAAGATTCTTGCCACCCCATCTAGCCTCTTGACCATGAGCCCCCTCACTCACTGCCAGGACTGCCTCAGTAGGCAGAGAGGTGTCCAATGCTTTGACATACATGTATCAGATGCTCCCACCATGTGACCACCCAAAGGTGTACAGATCTAGCCCCAGCGGACACACCCCCTGGATGGCACAGACCTGGGCACAGGAACACAGACCCTCAGGACAGCACAGACCTCAGGCCAGCACCTTCAATGGCATAAGAAAATACAGGAGGTGGATGATCAGGCTATAGATACAGACAGCTGCTGGCAGGGGGAGACTGGCTTGACCTGGTCACCAAAGCATGGGTGGTCTTTCCTTAGCCACAAGGCCTGGGGGCAGCAGAGGGCAGGCAGATATCCCTCGACAAGCACAGACCCAGGCAGCCGAGACCTCAGGGAGATGGCACAGCCGCACCATGCCGCCTGCTCCAAATGGTGCAGAGATGCCTACCAGAGTGGGAGCTGAACCAAAGGGTGCAGGAGCACACGCAGGCGGGCAGCGGCCCCAGCCTGAGCCCCAGCTCAAGCCCAGCCCAAGGACACCCCACACTTCCCAGGAAGCTCACAAGACAGACCAGGAAGGAGCAATCAGCAAATGATAGATACAGTTGAGCCCCCAGCCCTGGGATGCCAGCAGCCATGAGTGTGCCCTAACATCAGACTCCCCCAACCCCCCACCACTGGCACCCCCAGTGAGGGGCTTCGAGATCTGGGGTCCTAGAAAGAGGAACTAGCTGCAGGAAGACAGCCTGAGTCTGCCTGGGAAAGGCACAGTCACCAGCAATTTGGCCAGTCGGCAAACCAGTCAGTCCCACACATCCCCCACTCCATTCACACACACTCCACATGCAAACAGTCTTAGCACATCCACACGCTGACACGTGTGCAAACACACCTCTTGCTGCACCCACACCCACACCCACTCGTTAGAGGACAGCATCCCCAACAAAAAAACCTGTCACCCTCCACCCCACCTCCCTCCCAGCACCACCTCCCAAGACAGCTGTCCCTGGGACCGAGGACGAGGGGCAACTCTGCAGAGAGCGTGCAGGAGAAGGGGCGCCCCTGGGGGACCAGTGGCCTGGGCGAGAGGTGGTGGGACAGAGCCAGTGCCCGAGGCCAGGACGCACACACTCACCTGGTACTGCAGCGGCGGCCTGCAGGCTGGCCCGCTTCTTAAAGGGATATTTGGCCTTGGATTTGCCGGGGCCAGATGGATAGGATGCCATGGCTCGGGCCGCGGAGACGGCGGGGGTAGTCTGAGCCGCACCAGCGGGGGCCGGCTCTGCCACATCCAACCCCTTCCTCCGCCCCGCCCCCAGCGGGAGTGACTGATGCAGGAAGCAGAGGCCCCGCAGGCGGAAGAGGCCCTGGCCACGATTTCTGATGTTGTCTAGGCAACCCGGAGGAGGGGGGCCTCCATATCCGCCCCTTATCGCTCCCCTCCCTTCCTCGGTCCCTGGAGAGTGACTGACGGAAGCTAGGCCAGGGGAGTGGACGTGAGAAAACAAGATGGGGAAGGGCTAGCCCCTGGCACTCCACTAACCCCCTCGGGTGCCCTCGCCCCTTACCAGGGCTCCGGGGCAAAGGAGTTAAAGTCCAGGCTAGCTGGTCCAGCCAGCCGGGAGAAAAAAAGAATAATAAATAGAAATCCAGCACGAGCTCCCCCAAGCTCAGAACACACTCCTCTCAGGGCAGGCGTACTCCGTAAAAACCCAGCCCCTCTGTGGCAGAGCCCTCTTTTTTCCTTCTCTATCTGACCCCCAGTCCCTGGGGTAGCCCAGGTCTGGGAAGATGGGGTAGAACTGAGAATCCTAGCCCAGTAGGGAGGAGCCTGTCTTGGGAAAATTCCACTCTCCGGCAGAAGCTACCTTCTAGGAAGGCAGGGAGGAGGCAAGGGCTTCTCCGGGGGTTTGGGAAGGAGACCTCAGCGTCTTGTGACGTTTCCCTCGGTCTTTCCACACTCAGGCAGTGCTCTCCCAGAGCCTCCCCAGGAAGAGCTGGCCGCCTTCCCTAGGTCTGCTGGCTGTGCCGAGACCCCCTCCCTCTTGTCACCCTGGCCACTGTACTTGTCTGCTCCAGAGACAACTCCCGCAATGCACGCGAACACACTCACCTGAGGCCATGCTGCCTGCGCCCCGAGGGGGACCGGGGAGGCTGTCCGCCACGGTCCGCACAGCCGGGAAGCCGGGGTCGCGAGGGAGGGGAGGAGGGCTGGGGCCCCTGCCCTGGCCCTGAGATGGGGAAAGTAAGGCAGTCTTTCAAAAGGGCCAGCTGGCGGGAAGCGGACCCCCGCCGACCTCGGCCGTTGCCCTGGTCTCGGAGATCCGGGAGTCCCGACCCCCAGCCCCGCACTGGAGAGGCGGGCCGGCCACGTGCTCCGCAGAGAGCGGGAGCCGGAACTCGTCTGGGCTTCTCTCCACGCTCTCCGGGTATTCGGGGCCGGACTCCCGTAGCTGGACTGTGGGGCAGTCACACAACAGGTGCGAGCCCATCCAGACCTCGCCGGCGCCGCCGCGCGTCTCTGCGGCCGCCGGCCCCTCCAAGTCCGAGGCCCCGCCCTGGCCGGCCGGCCCCGCCCCCGCGTTTCCCTTCTTCCCGGCGCCACAGGGACAGCTGCCCCTCCGCGGTCCGCTGGGCCGAGTCTTGGGCAAGTTCTGTACGTCAGCTTCTTCATCAGTAAAATGGAATGGGGTAATCGCGTATCTCACTCAGAGGCGCGATTGTGAGGATTAAACGTTAAGCACCTTTGCCCCGTGCCTGGCACCAAGTCAGCGCCTAATAAGATAGAGCTATTATTACTGTCCCAGGATTCACTTTTAGCCGAAGTCCACCCCAGCATTCTCACTTTCGGTGGTCTGTGTTCTTCTGGCAGGCGTAGATAGGCAGGGTGTGTCCTGCAATTCTGTCTAACCCTTCCCACATTTATTTCTGTATTTGTTGGTTAAAAGCTTAGGCTCTGTATTCTATTCCTGAATTCAGTTCAATTCAGACTCCTCCACCCACTTCCTGACTAACGTTGGGAAAGTTACTTAACTTCTCTGCTTCGATTTCGTCTGTAACGTGAGTGTAAGAGACCCTGCTTTATGTGGTGGTGGTTAGACTTAGATGCGCTAATATAAGTTGAGGGCTTAGAACAGTGCCTGGCCTGTACTTACTACTCAGTTTTCATGTACTGGTCTTGCTACGTCCTCGCCCTTGGTCCCCTATTGACACGCTCACAGGTTGATTCACCTTGCAGCCTGTAAAGAAGTGGAGTTGGCTGCTTTGGGGACTGCAGACACCTCACCCAACCAGACCCCCACTCCCAACTGGCAGAGAATCCCACCTAAAGAGAACTTGTGAGGGCAAGTCCCTAAGACTTCACTAAACATAATTAAGTGTATTAGCAACATTTAGTCTTTTTCTTTTCTCTCCACCTTGTGGGAGCCCTTTGCCCCCCACACCCAGTTGTACTAATGCTGTTTGTCTAGCTCCTCCCTGTTCTCACCACCCCCATAGTCAAATTCCTTCCCAAACTCTGCCTCCTCCACTCCTCCCCAGGCTGGATTCTGGACCCTGAACCCTATTCTCTACCTGCATCTCGTGCCACCTCCATTGATCCGTGCCTGCTGTTCCTCACCCTGGACAAACTCAAAAAAACATGGCCTCCATAAACATGGGGGGGGAAGTTCACCTCACAAAGAATCAAAAACTAAAAAGCGAACAAGGAGATACCATGTTTACCCATTAAAATAGCAAAAATTAAGGGAAAAAAGTCCTAATGCAGGCAAGGGTGTAGTTAGTGAGGTGGGACACACACATATACTAGTGGTGGGCATAAACACTGACATAATCTTTCTGAAAGCTGTTTAATAATATATAATCAAGAGTCTTAAAAAGGGTCATATTATTTGACCCAGTAATTCCACTTTCAGGAAACTGTTCTTCTAAAAAGAGCTGCCAGAAAAATATGCACAGTTGTCCATCACTGCAATGTTTATCACATAGAAAGGCTGGAAACGTAAAGATCCAATAATAAGGGAACGTTTAAATTATGTCAGATACGTACAATGAAATATAGCCATTAAAAATTGTTCTTGGAGGGGGCCGGCCTGGTGGCACAAGCGGTCCGGGGTTCGCAGGTTCGGATCTCAGGGGTTGGCCGGTTGGGATCCCCGGGGGCGCACAGGCGCACTGCTTGGCAGGCCATGTTGTGGCAGCGTCCAATGTAAAGTGGAGGAAGATGGGCATGGATGTTGGCCCAGCGCCAGTCTTCCTCAGCAAAAAAGGAGGAGGATTGGTAGATGTTAGCACAGGGCTAATCTCCTCACAAAAAAAAAAAAAAGAAAAAAAATTGTTCTTGGAGAATTTCTTAATGAGGTGGAAATGTTTACAGTGTAAAGTTAGGAGAAAAAAATGGATGCAAAAATCTGTACATACACTATGGCCCTAATTATGTGACATACATGCATAGAAAAAAACACATCAAAAAGTTTACAAATGATTTCTGTGAGTGATGAAATTATGGTTATATTTATTTTTTTCTTTATACTTATCTTCATTTTAAAAATTATCTACAATGCATATCCATTACTTTTATAATCAAGGGAATAGAAAACAACAGTCTGTAAAAATCTGTAAGTGCCTCCACACCCCACCTTCAACAGACTGTCCTGGGTCTTAACCCCAGACTAAATTGGTCTTGGGGCCCTTAGTAATTTTGAGGCCATTGGGCTCTCAACAATGAATAATAAAATAAATCTCAAAATTAAAAACCAAGCACCAGGTAACCATGTAGAATATCATCTATATTCTGATAAAATGCAAATTTTGACAGTTTTAAGGGGTGATATCTTGCATTGGGCCAGGTCTCTTTAGGATTCCCCCTCAATCCAGACCTACCTACTTAACCAGCCCATAGGTGTCAATCCTGCCCTCGACCCTACCCAAGCAAACCAGTTCACTAGTCCTTTCACGCTCCTTCCTCGTTCCATCTGTAACACATGCTTCACCCTGTAACTCTCCCCTATTTCCGGGCCATTTGGCACACTGCTGTCCTTGCTGGGAAGTCTGCCCTGATTACAGCCAGGCATCCATCTCCCCACCCACACACCACCAGCAAGAATCTCAGCGGGGTCAGCAAGAATCTCAGCGGGGTTTCCTTGTCTATGCAGAACAGAGTTTGGGAAATGAAGGAGTGAGTCATCCCCTATGGCCTCCAGCTTTTTTCATGTTGGGGCCTTAATACTGTCTTTGAGCCCCTGGGACCTTCCCTCGCTCTAAACATAGCTTCCTCCTCTCCTAGCCTATTCGCCAGATAGTTCCTTCAATGGCCCTTCCTGAACCCCGGGCCGCCACTGACGATGCACTCCTTAATTCTCTGAATAACTGCTTCTCTTCACTTATGGCCTACAGCCTCCCACCTACGCCAGACCACTCTCTGCAGATAGCGGATTTGAGAGAGAACAACTGCAGCCTCAAAAAGATCCTTGCCCAGGACAATTTCCTGAACCATACCCTCTGCCTAGATCTTTCTAGAACCAAGCTGTTCAGCTCGTTTCTCAGCTTGTCCCAGCAGCCGGCCTCCCTATCCCAATCACCCAGCATTGTTTATAGCACCATGCAGCTGTATCCATCTGTACTTATTTATAAGTCTTCAATGGGTTTTAGCTAAACCCTTCGTCATTCAAGGCCCTTCACTGGCTAGCCCCAATTTCCCTCTCCTGTCCTCATCTCCCAGCCTTCCCCTCCATGCACCTTTCGCTCTTTCACTGCAGTCCAGTCACATCAAACTTTCCAGTCTTCTCTGAGCACACTTTGTACTCATGCCTCCATGCCTTTTCTCATGCTCTTTCCTTTCCCCAAAATGCCTATCCCTATTTCTACTGTTGTTCTGCTTCTCTGATGAAAGTCTGTTCATTTTACAATAGCTCCCTCCTCTCTTCTACTATAGAATTTATCAGTCTGACAGTTAGATGTGTGCAGAATTACCTTTCGTTATCAGGGGTGGAGGCTAGGTTTTAAACAGCTCTGAATTCTCCAGCACTTTAATTAACCATTTCTTTGTGAAATTTACCCCACCTCTTCCTTTGGAATGGAAAGTCCTGAAGACAGTTCCTCATTCTTCATGTTCCCCGGACTCCAGCTGAGACAAAGGTTTACCCACAATCCCTACCACTAGGTGTAAGACAGATCCTGAGATCTCCCCTTAACTCAGGAAACAGGACCAAATTCATTGAGAAATGGTGATTTTTTTTTCCACTCAATATGATTTGGTTATAAGGGCTGTGAACTAGGACACCTGAGTTCTAGCTGATTCTGATACTAACTTGTTTATTAATATGAGGATTGCCTTTCTGTGCTTCAGTTCATTCACCTCTAAAATGGGAATAGCGCCTACATGCTTTACCTACTCCACCAGGACACTGAACCCAAATGTGATAATAAGGAGAACAGCCACAGGAAAGGCACAGGAGTTGAGGATGGGAGGCAGGAGGTCACTGGCATCACAACAGTCCATGCATAGTGGTGCGTCTGAGCAATCAGAGGCCAGGCAAGGGCCAGGAGTTCCCGTACTCAGCTTAATAGTGGGAATGGGGAGCCCAGCAACCCAGGAAACAAGCAGACGCAGCACAGAAGCTTGCGGAGGTGGTAGCTGAAAAAGGAAGATGCTCAAACGCTTTCTCCACGTGTGAAACAAGTGAGCGGTTCCTCTGACAATGCAAGTGCTGCTGTCAGGGAGCTCATGCACTTGCCTGTCTTTTTTGCCCAAGTGTCCTCTCACTGGCTGCTTATGTGGGCGTAGTGGAAAGAAAGATCACCTGGTTTGTCTGTTTCACTAAGCTATATGATCTTGAACAAGTTGCTTAACCCTCAAGTCTCAGTTATCTGGTCTGTAAATTGGGGACAAGAGTACTTACCTTGAAGTTACTGTGAGAATTAACTGATATGAGCCACACAAATTGTCTAGCACAGTTCCTGGCAGTCCCTTGCTCTGAAGGGTGCAGGCTTCAGCACAGCTTTGGCCTGTGTGTAAGCTACCAATATTGTGGGGAGGATAGGGCAGGGCTGGTGAGGTATAATTACTGAAACCTTATAGCTAAGATTTCAAGACAGTCACAAT